AAAGGTTGGGGATACACCAAGAGACAAAAAAAGACAGCATTTGGTCCACAAGTATTGAGAAGCATTCCTGACATCATTTTGACATCATTACTGATGGTTCCTGTTGTAAATGTACACCTGAACCCACTGTATCTTTTTTTCAAAGTAAACGGTTTCAGCTTAGGTTAAAGGTCTGTTAGATAAATTCCGCAGTAAATTTATGGTTTTCGGAACTCTGCCGGACTGATTGTCTGAACTAATCTATATGTGTCTGTGTGCAGTGGAGCGTGATTATTACCAGAACATCCCTTTACCCTCTGCGAACAAATCATGACTTTTACCGTTCTCAAATGAGTTATTTGATATTTAAGTAAAAAAAAAAAATCGGTAAAAAAAAATAAAAAAATACAATGTATGTTTTTCATTCTTGCCAGAATACCGTCCTCGTTTTTGATCTGTGAAATTCCGTTGAGTTCACGCAGTCTTATTTATTTGCAGTCAAAATCATCTTTCCTTGTGAAGTTTGCTCTCGTAATTGATATTTTTTATTCTAGTTCAATCATGCATGCAGTGCCGAGGCGGAAATTGCGAAAGTATGCCGACATTTTCTAAATATTAAGTTTTAGAATCTCCAGTGATTACCTACTGTTTAACTGTGAGATGGTGTGCCACCTCAGAACTCACACGAACATGTCTGTCTACCGATCGTTAACACCCATAAACAGAACCAACATATGTTTTGAGGTATTCCGGAAGTTCTAGATTACTGTTGAAGTGGGAAAGCTATCTGTAAACACCTCTTGTGTTCCAATAAACACAGAATTATTGAGTAAGGTATAGTTACCACAAGAGGAACGAGATATCATTCACTCGCCCTCCACTCTCATCGCTTTCTCTCGTTATTGACTGGAGGACATACTGCTTCCATGGCGCAATGCTTAGCACCTAATTGACGACGTTAATTTCCTCCGCGCCACTATTTTTCTCTGCGTGCGGAAGAAGTTCGGGGTAAAAATTACCGCCGTTCGGTTAATTCACTGGGCTTGCAATTGAGATTTGGATCGATTGGATTCCGACTTAAGATCTTATTTTGCTTTTTTCTGTCATAAAGAAGAAAAACAGGCAGAGACAGAATAGTTTATTGTTATAGATAAATCCGCTGATTACCATGGGGTTGGCACCTGTTGTTGTTTACGCGATCTTTTCTACCACCTACGTAAACGATCGGTGTTTTGCAGGCTGATAATGTGTTATTGATGGTTACCACGTGCTCTTTACTAAGGCATTACGACGGAACCACAAGTGGGGCAGGAAACGCTAACACTTCATAAACAATGGGTGTCTCCTATGTTTTATTATGGAATTCGTGTTAAGTGTTATTTAGGTGCTTCCACTGCTGTTGTCGTTTTATAATTGGCATTGATTTTGGATCTTGTTCTTATTTAATGATAATTCAATATTTTTTTTTATGGTTTTAATCAATCAAGTTTTCTATAATCTGATGATGGTAAACAACCCGATCGCTCCTGCTAGCAGACTGTCGCATACTGTTAAGAACATGGCACTTGTCCGTGTGCGATCTTGCAGGTTTTGTATACATAATCTTAAGAGACGACGTATGTTTTAAGTTAAGAATATTACCGATACAGGATTATTTCTTTATCCTGTAAACCGGACTTAAACAAACCAAAGTGTCAACACTTCGAATTTTCAAACACGCTTCAAACTTATGTGACTTGTAGTTATATAAAACGTCTTTTCCGGACCAATACTGATCTTATCTGGTTTTTTTTAAGAATTTCATGTTGGTACCGAAAATATATGCTATGTTACATTGTTTTATGTTTAAACTACACGCAAAACAAGAAAATGTATTCCTAATATCTTATTTACTTTGCTGCAGAAACAGTTTTTAGAATGTCCCCTTGTCCCTCGCCTTCGGGATGATCATGCCATGATTTAATTAAATCCACTGCATTAGCTGATGTCTTTATCATATCACCTCTAGGCCTATATTTTGCCTCCTGCAGAGTTCCCCTATTTATGTAACCCAAGCAATGTGTCGTCCTGACATCGCGAACTCGGATAGTGAAAACACAAACACAAGGCACTACAATAAGCATAACCAAAAGCATCGACCTTCATATCGCACAAAGAAGAGGCTGCGAGATCCTTAGGGCCACCATACAGCTTGTCCATAGTCTTCTTTAGCCTGTATCTTAGGAAAGCCCTTGATGTGAGGACGTCATAATATCCGGAGCCCAATTGCCTCTCATATCGTACAGCTTAGTCTTTAGCCGGCCCTTTTGGTAATGTTGTAAGAAAGATTGAGAAAAACACGGATGAAGTGGAACATTATGTGGTGCCCTTGATATCAATTTCTAGAGGATATAACGATCGATATTGGCGGCAATGCATTACATGATATTCAAAGACAACACATCATCGATACATTTATATGTGAAATTAAAGGCCTGGTTAGGCTTTTGTTAACAGTGCTGATAAGCTCATCAATAAATAGCACACTGGCTAAAATCGCTATAAAGCTATTCTGACGTCAAAAGAAACAATAGGATATGATGCCATCGAGTTTAAGGCTAAGGTAAAGTTGTTTTGTTTTAACTGGGTTTTTTTCAGTCTAAATATTTGCAAAATGTGTTTTGGTTTCCTCTTACATTAAAACAGTCTGCGCGCTTTCGTCCGGGCCAGAAGAGCAGATTAATGCTAGCAAAAGTTAGAAACTGTTTCACAATTGTTATACAATATTAACGTTTATATTTGAATATAATGAGCTTGTTTGAACAAAAGAAATATGTTAGTTGATATCGTCTGCGAGTTTTAATATACACAACTGGTTTAACTTGTAGTAGATTGGCTCTAATGAAGTATTTGCCTATTGTTGACACTTGACCCGTATTAGTCTTATTGTGTTGATTGGCCAGTGTCACAGTGTCTGTGTCGAATTTCATTTCCGGGGGATTTGAACATTCACATTGCATATCATTATGTAAGATACCAAATATAAAAAAAAAAACATGTAGAAGGATGCACTAGGGTAGTCTATCTTATACAAAACTGAAGATAAGACTTAAAATATATTATTTCAAAAATGAGGTTTTGAAATAATATGCAAAGAAGCTTATTTTATACACGAACATGTTTTGTGTATGTCAACATTATTAATCAGCTAATAAAATGTTCAAACGATGCTACATGTACCCAGTGTGCGTGAGTAAGCATAGAAATGCCATTGTCAGCAAATCCCACTTTTTTCCTAAAACCTTGCGTTAATGTTTTTATACAGACGTTATGGTTATTGACGCAATCCTATAACGCATATTGATGTCGTAAACCACATGTTGATGTCGTTAACAATATATTGATGTTTTATAGCTGTTCTGTATATATGCAACACATACACACACACATATATATATCTAATAAAATAGTATATAGATAACAAGATGTAATGGGGCTTTCCAGCTAACTCACAATTTACGATCGGCTGTGATCTGAAATACAACACTATCTCTCATTAGAGTTTCCTGTGGTATGAATGTAAGTGCACTTTATCGATATTTCTTTCGTGAAGTGAAACCATTTCTGCTCTTAAGTGTATTTGAACAAGATATTTACGACACGACTTCATACGTCACTATCCTGCTAAGTGATTGTAGACAATATGGACGGAAGTCTCTTCATCTTGTAATAGTTAACCGAAAATTCTTTATTCTAGGCAGTTTTAAAAAGAATGAAAATGATTTTCGTTCAAGTAAAATTTCGATAAAGTAAACTTTTATTTTATTTTGTATCTGATCATAAGTAAAATAGCCAAATAGCACGCGTGGTATTTTAGAATAAGAGCAGTTGTCCCTTTAATCTGTTAATTCAGAAACCAAGATTTACGTCTCGTGTTGCAGCCTTTTAGCGCGAGACGTATACAACATTAATGTGCCTTCGTTATTTCTACTTTATTGATTTTAGCAACCGATTAATTTATTTGGACAGTCTAATCCGTCTTGTAAGATATATTGATTTGTACCAAATAAAAAGGTTTGCCGTTTTATTAGCGCGGTGATTATTAACTATTAGCCTGCCACTGCTGTCAGTCCCCGTGTCGCAGACAGGAGCAGTACATATGTTGGCTGTAGGCCTTTTAATGCCATGTTCGGCGAGATAGCTTAAATATTATTACATCGAATATTATTTGTTACTGGGTAACTATATACGACAGAATTATCTGTTATTGACTTAAATACAAGGTTTGGTGGGAATGACTGGTTGATTTATTTATAACCGTACCTGTTACAAGTAGTATTTTACCTGTATTTATTAAGTAGTGCCCGTAACGCACCTGATAAACTAATTAGTTCTAAATCAGTCCTAAAACACTTTGCTTTTGGCTGTAATCTACAGTTGTAAATAAAACACGTCCATACATTTATATGAGCCTTTCATTTGACATGCCGATTATGCTGTAGTGTAAATGTAAAGTATGCTAAAAAGGGTAAGGCAGTACAAACATATGTGAATGGGTCGACAGCCGAAAGTCAAAGTAACTTATTGTGAGCCTGGATTATCAACTGTGGTGTGTGAAATGTTAATGTTGTCATATGTTTTAATGGTGCCAAATCGAATATATAGTCCTTAGTGTAACTTACATGTAAACACCATTGTTTTATAAAGGGTCACTTTTAAGACCAAAGTTTAACAAAATATATGCTGTTACATTAAGGGTTGCAATGCCATCCTTAATGTTACACAAAAGATTGCCATAGAATTATAGGAACCAATCATTCTGATGAGGCGGTACATTGGATCTGTCATACATCAATCTCTTCTGGCATATTTGTCGACAAATTAGCGCTGTCGTTGTTCTATCCACAATAAATTGTTTGCATTGGTGCCAACCCAGAAATGATTCACTTCAATGATTTTCAGTATACGGTTCCTCTCCTCCAGAAAAGGAAGTGCATTTTTTGTGTATTAAGTATAATATTATATGACTTTGTATTTGACAGATGACGTCACACAACTCGTCGGCCTCGTATTCGTACATGTACTACGATGACCAGGAGTACAACCAGACCCTGCTGGAACTTCTACAGCAGCACGAGAAAGAGTCCCCGCGTGCGTTTATCTTCGCCGTGCTCATGACGATTCTCTCTGCAATTTTCAACACTGGCATCACCATCGCTATTCTCTTCACGCCGACGTTACGTCAGAACATCCTCTACATTCAAATAATCAACATCTCAGTGGTAAATATCATCCTAAGCGGGTTTGTAATCCCGCTAGCTATTTACGCCGAACATCGGCCATGGACGCTCGGTGACGCAATGTGTAAAGTCTGGATCATAATGGACGTGCTTATGCCCTTTGTTTCCATGGTATCGCTCGTGCTGATGAATCTAGACCGCCTTTTTGTTCTAATATGCAACAACTCACATATGTTGACTATGAACAGCATGGTCAAAGTGTTCCTTGTGTTGGTGCCCTGGTCTGTCGGATGTGTGATCGTACTTCCCATTTGGATACTTGGCTCCAACCATTATCCGTATTATGACGGCTATTGTATATTCGGCCTGGTATTCGATGCTTCCGTCGCCTCGCCAATCATCACGTACTTTGTACCAGCGGTGGGCATCATCTTGCTGATCACATTGATTCTGATGTATAACTTTAAAGGGAATCTAGCTGAACAAAACATGTACTCTTCCCCCTCCCGGTCGATAGACTGTCATCATCGGACAGACTCCACATCTAGTTATGACGAGGAAAAATACTTGTCGCTTGTCACCCTATGTCTGGCTGACTTCTTCTTCATAGCAATGTGGTTTCCGTATCAACTTTTCACATTGCTTATGTCCATTTGTACTGGATGTTATCCACCAGTGAGCGCTGCAGTCGCCTTCACGTGGCTCGGAGCGTCTACGGCCTGTGTGCTACCGCTCACGTGGTTGTCTGACGTGAAAATACGTGAAAGTATTAGGACCTTTTTGCACGATCGATGTACCCAGGAGGTGAGCGATCTCAGGGAAAGAAACAGCGTCCCTCTAATGGAACTGTAGACAATCCTTTATTCTCGTGCACAGACGTTTGTGGATGAGCACGTGCACGTTTTAGAGGTAGCTCATGTGTGATAGATGGTGTCGAAGTCTTCTCTTAGAACTAATGGTTTCTTCCTAAACTTATACCTAAAGTTGTATGTCTTGTTGTTACTTACGTCATCACAGGTGTTATGACGTCACGGCTATGTACCGGTGGAATGTTACACGGAAATATGTGTTGTAGTGCTTGTGCGATGGATTGATGAGTGTTAGTTATTATATGTAAGAGAGCTGATGGTTTAAGACATCAATATTTATTGAACAATTTGAATATTCCGTGTTTTTTAACTATCATACATGTATGTCTATCATATTTCACCACTTTATAATATTTGTACGGTGATAAGATAATATTTTGTTTGATGATGCCACATGTCTTTTTTCGACTGCAATATTATATTACATTATAATTAGATTAATATTAGATATGCACAAGTTTAAGATCCAATCTATCACCATATTGTACAGAGGAAGATAATGACATCACTGAACCTTCAGTCAATGACCAGATTACTGCACGCTTAACTATGTCAAAATAGTCCCCCGGACACCATGTTGTATTTTGCATACAAAACACATAAGTAAGAATAGGTGACATATAGGTTTGGCTATACAAACATGTTGGTTTGATAGACAACAGCTTACTTTAAAACATCAATGTAAATAACCAGTTTATTTCAAAAAGAAGTTCTCTTGAACGTCAAACTTGCGTGAATTAACGCGAAAATATCAACACACGTTGTTTTTTTATATATATATTTATAGATATAGGGAGTATGTAGATTTCAGAACCTATGCCAAATGCAAAAAAGTCCAAATCGCAATCAGATTGAAAAGTCATAAGGCAAACATTTCTACACGCGAGAATTGTAAGAGAGTTCTACCTAGCGTACCAACCGGTAGTTAACGCATATACTTTGTGGACTATATCTGACATACTGAAGACATAGTGAGTGTACGTGGAATGTCATTGACATACTGAAGACATAGTGAGTGTACGTGGAATGTCTTTGACAGACTGAACATATAGTGAGTGTACGTGGAAATGTCATTGACATACTGAAGACATAGTGAGTGAACGTGGAATGTCTCTGACATACTGAACACATAGAGTGAATGTGGAATGTCTCTGACATTCTAAACACATTGAGTGTACGTGGAATGTCATTGACATACTGAAGACATAGTGAGTGTACGTGGAATGTCTTTGACAGACTGAACATATAGTGAGTGTACGTGGAAATGTCTCTGACATACTGAACACAGTGAGTGTACGTGGAATCTCATTGACATACTGAACACATTGAGTGTACGTGGAATGTTATTGACATACTGAACATATAGTGAGTGTACGTGGAAATGTCTCTGACATACTGAACACAGTGAGTGTACGTGGAATGTCATTGACATACTGAACACATTGAGTGTACGTGGAATGTTATTGACATACTGAACATATAGTGAGTGTACGTGGAATGTCTTTGACAGACTGAACATATAGTGGGTGAATGTGGAATTTCTCTGACATACTGAAGACATAGTGAGTGTATGTGGAATGTCTCTGACATACTGAACACATAGTGAGTGTACGTGGAATGTCTCTGACATACTGAACACATATTGAGTGTATGTGGAATGTCTCTGACATACTGAACACATAGTGAGTGAACGCGGAATGTCTCTGACATACTGATCACATAGTGAGTGTCCGTGGAATGTCTCTGACATACTGAACACAAAGTGAGTGAACGTGGAATGTCTCTGACATACTGAACACATATTGAGTGTATGTGGAATGTCTCTGTCATACTGAACACATAGTGAGTGTCCGTGGAATGTCTCTGACATACTGAACACATAGTGAGTGTACGTGGAATGTCTCTGACATACTGAACACATAGTGAGTGAACGTGGAATGTCTCTGACATACTGAACACATAGTGAGTGAACGTGGAATGTCTCTGACATACTGAAGACATAGTGAGTGAACGTGGAAATGTCTCTGACATACTGATCACATAGTGAGTGTCCGTGGAATGTCTCTGACATACTGAACACATAGTGAGTGAACGTGGAATGTCTCTGACATACTGATCACATAGTGAGTGTCCGTGAAATGTCTCTGACATACTGAACACATAGTGAGTGAACGTGGAATGTCTCTGACATACTGAACACATAGTGAGTGAACGTGGAATGACTCTGACATACTGATCACATAGTGAGTGTCCGTGGAATTTCTCTGACATACTGAACACATAGTGAGTGAACATGGAATGTCTCTAACATACTGATAACATAGTGAGTGTCCGTGGAATGTCTCTGACATACTGAACATATAGTGAGTGTACGTGGAATGTCTCTGTCATACTGAACACATAGTGAGTGTACGTGGAATGTCTCTGACATACTGAACACGTAGTGAGTGTCCGTGGAATGTCTCTGACATACTTATCACATAGTGAGTGAATGTGGAATGGCTCTGACATACTGAACACATAGTGAGTGAACGTGGAAATGTCTCTGACATACTGAACACATAGTTTGTGAATGTGGAATGTCTCTGACATACTGATCACATATTGAATGTACGTGGAAATGTCTCTGCCATACTGAACACATAGTGAGTGTACGTGGAATGTCTCTGACATACTGAACACATAGTGAATGTACATGCAATGTCTCTGACATACAAGGACGGTTGATATATAGGGTGATGAGAGTGTCGATAATGTATGATATAATGACCGTCATCGCCGGGTATATTGTATACTGATCAAATTTCCCTCTTGACATAATATTATGAACGGGACTTTAATTTGTACAGTTGTAATACATATATTTAAATGGGAAGTATACTAATGTAAATGTACATATTTTGATATGAGAATATTTTCAGGCAATGAAAACATGTATGCAGATTGTACATATTGCAGAACGTTATGACTGATTGATATAGGACTAATGATTTGTTAAGTATAAATATAATCAATATATTGATGACATGTCCTTGGGCTATTTATCGATTTCATTTGAAAGCCAATCTGCTCTGTTGTAAGGTAAAGTATGACATGTTACAAAATGTATATAAATGGACCAGGGACTTTAGTTTACAATCAAATTAAATTGTTGTATATGCAGTATAAGGTTCTTGATATTTTTCAAGATTGAGAGATTAACAAAAGCAAGTTTATTTTGAAAGAGAAAACTTAAGGATCCCCGTACCACTGCCCAACACTGTAACTATGCATTTTTTCATGACCAAAACTTTTATTAAGAAAGCCATACCGTGCGTGATTTTTATGGGGAAAAATGAAGATGAAATAAGCAAAACATAGTCAAAAATAGTTTACTGAATGTAAACATTGAGCGAGGCTAGACTGGGAAACAATGTACAAACCCTGGAACTCGGATTGTTAGAATATTGCACTACCCAACCGAGCTTCGTCTACCTGTTCAACAGAATCGAACTGGCCCATCTGTGCTACACTTATTCCCAAAACAACAACAAATAAGGGGCGGTTACCGTAAATACGAAAAACTACAGAGCAGTGGGTCAGGGATCCTAAACATGACCGTGTTCTTGGTATTGATATATATATCTGTATGAACGGTTTCAATGTGAGCAACACCATTGTATTTCTTTGACGTTACATGTTACCCGTACACAAGGGAGGGTAACATTCTTCAATGCTAAATAATTGTGTTAAAGTGAGCCAGAAACAAAGTTTAAATATTTTGTGAATGAAATGTCCTCTTTTCCCAAAATGAAAGAAAATTCGCTTGAATTACTTATCTAATTATTAATCTTCACTTAATAAAATTATGTTGTATTAAATTATATTGACTGGTTGATGATGTAAGTCGACTTTTATTGAATAGCTAATGGGTATGCCTATCTGTTATTGACTGATTAATGATCCAATTTAACTGGTTAACGTTGACTGGTTAATGATCCACGTTGACAGGTTAATGATCCAGGTTGACTGGTTAATGATCAACGTTGACTGGTTAATGATCCGCGTTGACTGGTAAATGATCAACGTTGACTGGTTAATGATCAACGTTGACTGGTTAATGATTAAAGTTGACTGGTTAATGATCAACGTTGACTGGTTAATGATCAACGTTGACTGGATAATGATCAACGTTGACTAGTTAATGATCCGCGTTGCCTGGTAAATGATCAACGTTGACTTGTTGATGATCAACGTTGACTGCTTAATGGGCAACGTTGACTGGTTAATGAACCCCGTTGACTGGTTAATGACCGGCGTTGACTGGTTGATGATCCGCGTTGACTGGTGGCAGTTTAATGATCCAGGTTGACAGGTTAATGATCAACGTTGAATGGTTAATGATCAACGTTTACTGGTTAAGGATCCGCGTTGACTGGTGACAGGTTAAGGATCCAGGTTGACTGGTTACTGATCAACGTTGACTGGATAATGATCAACGTTGACTAGTTAATGATCAGCATTGACTGGTTAATGACCGGCGTTGACTGGTTGATGGTCAAAGTTGACAGGTTGATGATCCCCGTTGACAGGTTAATGATCAACGTTTACTGATTAATGATCCACATTGACTGGTTAGGTAAATGATCAACGTTGACTCGTTAATGGACAACGTTGACTGGTTAAGGATCCGCGTTGACTGGTAAATGATCCGCGTTAACTGGCGACAGGTTAATGATCCAGGATGACTGGTTAATGATCAACTTTGACTGGTTAATGGTCAACGCTGACTGGTGAATGATCAACGTTGACTAGTTAATGATCATCGTTGACTGGTTAATGGGCCACGTTGACTGGTTAATGGTCAACGTTGACTGGTAAATGATCCGCGTTAACTGGTAAATGATGTTAATGATCCCCGTTGAAAGGTTAATGATCCGCGTTGCCTGGTAAATGATCAACGTTGACTAGTTAATGATCAGCATTGACTGGTTAATGATCTAC